TAGGATCTGTTAATTTTAAGTCACGGTAGTGTTTAAGTCCTTGGAGTTGTCCAAGGCAGATTTCGTAACCCATTCTGCAGGAAGGCATCCCTCCCTCTTGCAAATCGTCTGAAGGCGCAAATTTCATTTTAATCCAACGTTCTTCCCGCCATCTACGAAGAGGTCGACCGTGAGGAAGGAGATGGTCGTTGGGAAAGTCCTCCTTTCTTACTTTCAGCAAAGTAAGTGGCACGCCCGCATCAGATTTCACACGTGCGAGGCCACTAGAGGATTTTTGAGGAAACAATAAGACTCGAACTTGCATCCTCAAAATGATAGAGGAGATAACAAACCAGCAAAACCATTGCAATCTTATTATCGAAAGCTGGAGAACATTTTATTTATTGATAGTTGATTGAACTGGTCAAATTAAGAACCGAAGGTCAAAGCACTTTGACCTTCGGGTTTCGTTTTCCAAACACTGCATCGGCAGTCCAATACTCCAATCTTTTTTGTCATTCATCTGGCCCTAGCTAGAAGAGGTGAGTATTTTCGGATACAAATCTAATATGAGTTATATTTAGAATTTAACTTAAAAATTTTTAGATATGACTTTTTAAATTTGATGCTTATTTAAATACTTAAAAACTTATATTTGGTACATAACTGAATATATACTAAGTAACTTACTGATATATATTTATATATTTGTTGAATAATATTTTGTTTTAAAATTTCAAATTAAAATTTAATAAGATATTATTTATTACTATCTAAGTTTAAATATAATTTAAAATAATAATAAAAAACTAAAATTTGTTTTGTATCCACAACTCAAATCTACATACTATTACAAAACTAAATTCAGTTAAATAATTAATAATAAAGATAAAAAAATATGTTAAAAAAAAAGAATGAAAATAAATTAAATGATAGAATGAAAGTCTTAGATGTTCAAGTTTTTGAGCTCATGGTCCCTCTAATTCTCTGTTTTAATTTGTTAGAAAGGAATAATGACCAATGGTATTATATCTATTTTAGCATCTTGATATTCATTCTTTTGATTTTATGATTTTTATCATGTTAAATTTGAAATTTGAAGGTAAAAAATCATCTATACAATAAACAAAGACTAAGAGTCAAAAATCATTAACAAAAAAGGAAAAAGATAACAAAAAAAAAAAAATCAAACCTTAAAGTTGTATGTACTCATCATTGTCTAAGAATGTAAGGGAGAAAAAAATTGTTGGTTTTGGCTGTAATATGTGTTTATTTCAAGGTTTGTTATTTATAGGTTGTGTGTAATTTTTTTTTTTTTGTATTTTATTATTTTTACTTTTAAAAATTATTGTTATTATATAGATATTAAGTATAATAAGTATACATATAAAATTTTAATTATACAAATATAGGTAACAAGTCATCAGATAAATGAAATAATTAAACATGTTAGGTAGATAGTTTTAAATTCTTACACTTATTAGTTATTACTTAATTTGATATTTGTGGGTATACCATTTTTATATCCATTACTTACTCAATTTTTTTACAGTTCAGATAAGGTACTTACCCAATCAGATGAAATAGTTATTGTACCCAATGCTCACCCCTGCTAGCTTGCAACAAGTGCAAGAAAAAAGTTGTTGGCTATAGGTGTAATATGTGTTTACTTTAGGGTTTGTTATTTATAGGTTGTGTGTAATTTTTTTGTTTTTATTTTATTATTTTATTATTTTTATTTTTAAATTTATTGTTATTATATGGATATTAAATATAATAAGTATACATATAAAATTTTAATATATAAGTATATGTAATATGTCAGATAAATAAAATAGTTAAACATGTCAAGTAAGTAGTTTTAGTGCCCGTTTGGTGTAGCGATTTTGAAATAACGGTTAGCGGTTAACTATTTTACTTAAACTGTTATATATAAGTGTTTGATAAATTTATATATTTCGAAATCGCTACAAATAAAGTATTTAGTAAAATTTTTATTTAACAGTTTGAAACTAGCGGATAACGGTAACTTTTTGTATCAAATCACTAGCAGATTAAAATTTTTTCATTTTATTGACAAATTTATTCATTTTAATTTTTTAATTTGTAGTCACATTTTTTAATTAATAATTATCTAATAAATTTTAAGTTTGTTTTTTTACCTTTAATAACATTAAGTGATTATAATTTTTTTTATACATTAATTTATAATTAAAAATATATTATCTTAAAAAATAAATTTTGTTAATTAGACAAAATTATTAATTTTTATTTAAAAATAATATAATTTTTTCTTTTTTAAAAATAAAAAT